AAAGAGCAGAGAAGAGAAGAGAAGAGAAGAGAAGAGAAAGAGAAAGAGAAAGAGAAAGAGCAGAGAAGAGAAGAGAAGAGAAGAGAAGAGAAAGAGAAAGAGAAAGAGAAAGAGCAGAGAAGAGAAGAGAAGAGAAGAGAAGAGAAAGAGAAAGAGAAAGAGAAAGAGCAGAGAAGAGAAGAGAAGAGAAGAGAAGAGAAAGAGAAAGAGAAAGAGAAAGAGCAGAGAAGAGAAGAGAAGAGAAGAGAAGAGAAGACTCTCCATTTCTGAGGCTGAATACAAAATTGTACATTTCCCCCTTGGGATCTATTTCAGAGCTCTAGAATCTCAGTATAAGGTGAATGCTAGCTGTGTATTTAAAGAGAACCACGAATTCCATCCCTCTGGAATTTTAGCAATCTCATTTAGCTGAAAACTACCGGCTGCATAAACAGCCACTGATGTTTGCTCATTTAATTCCAGCAATCAAAGAAACAGCTCTTACATTGCCAGTGGTGAAATCTTACCTTGCAACCAAACAAATGCAAAGTTTCCACTTGTAATTATTAACCAATCCCTTATTACTTAAACCTTTTGAATATAAGCAATGCAATCAAGCCTGTTAACTCAGAAGTAAATCTTACAGTCCAAAGGGACTTACTCCCAAGTAAGTGTACTTAGGACTGCATTCTTAAATAGCTCACTATCACTAGAAGACCAGCGGCTGACCTATTGGTATTTCCTCTTCCCTTCCAAAAGAGGGCATTTCCTCTTCCCCTCCAAAAGAGCAAAGGAAAAAAAATTGCTATCACATGTGCAGTTCAGTTTCCAAGGTAATCTCAGTGTTCACTGGGGGAAAATTATGTTTCTAGCCCTTTTGACTGCAAATATATGTTTGGAATGCAGGCAATGTTTCTTGGAATGACAGAAGCAAGATGGGTGGACATGCCAGATGGAGATGTGCACTAGTCATAAAGCATGACTAAATCTGGATCCATGCCAATGAATTTAGGCTTTTTTCACTTGCTTCTTTCTCCAATCAGCTTTCCGAACCTAGATCTGCAGCCATGGAGGAGAGAAGCTTCTGGACGATTCCTATTAAAAAAAAATGGGGTGGGGGAGGGAATCCCAATGATGGCCGGCAGCAGTTTATTCATTAGACTCTCACGTAACCACTACAGGGAATCCATTAAAACTGATAGCCTTTGCTTCTATATTAAGAGTTCGGAACTGAAACACACACTCAAAGAAGAAGGGATCCATCCAGGTTCTTATGTGTGCCCAGTATGGTTCCTCTATTGATTTATTTTTTTTCAAGCCACAAATTCCTGACTGCCTCAGAGAACATCCCCAGTGTTCCCTCTAAGCTGAGCTAGGGTGAGCTAACTCACAGATTTTTAGCCTCACGCGTTTTTAGCCAGTTTTTTAGCCTCACACATTTTTGCCTTAGCTCAAGAAGGATGGCTCCACAGCAAAGTAATTTATGGAGTAGCCAAAATCATCCGCTCACAACTTTAATGCTAGTAGCTCACGAAGTAGAATTTTTGCTCACAAGACTCCACGGCTTAGAGGGAGCATTGTCCCCAGTGTGTGTCCAAATTCTGAGAGTAGACTGTTGGGTGACACAGAGTGGAGTGAGGGATAGTTTAGAACCACGGGCCCTTCCATAGGCACAGAACTCTTCTGGTGGCTCTCTGGATCCTAGCCAAAGATTTGCAATTTGTCTAATTAGATACACCAGAAACCAAGAAGGAATGCTTTCTGGCATTTTGAATCCTTTACTACCTATGTTTGGTGTTTGTAGAATATCCAATGAAACATGTTGTCCAGTTCTAAGGATAATTTTCCTACCCAAAAAAGGATAGCCTTTTTAAAATAAGCCTACAGCCACAGAAACAGAGTACTTTATCTAGCTTTTCAGCATAAATAATGATCACACAAAACAAAAATGCATCTTAGCTTTTAATGCGTACAGGGGAAGAGCTCAGACTTTGAGCAATATTGGACACTGCTGAATGAGGGATGCTTAGAATACTCTAATAATTACACTAATGGAAAAGATACCCCCCCTTATGCTAAAGTAATTCCTGAAAATACAATAGGGGTACTCTTCAAAAATAAGTCCTTATGGCTTGCTTCCTTCAGTCACATCCAGTTCTAATTCATTCCCTGGAGGCTTGCCAGAAATCATTTAGACTCAGTATTGTGACCCATTTGAAAACTGAATGCTGTTCCAACAATATTCTTTGTATCACTGGATGGAAGGAAGGATAGATCATAAGGAATGCAATTTCTCTGCTTCCTGTAGCAATCCTTAACTACAAATAACCACTTTTGTATTATGATGTTTGACACATCAGAAAAATCAGTACCTCGCCCTGACCTGGGTAGCCCAGGCAAGCCCGATCTCGTCAAATCCTGGAAACTAAGCAGGTTCGACTCTGGCAAGTACTTGGATGGGAGACCTCCTTGGAATACCAGAGGCGGCAGGTGGGGGCAGGCTTTATTCAGCCACCTCTCTGAATATACTCCAGGCCCCCGGTAGGGGTCAGTCACTAGAGGTCACCATGACTTCCAGGTGCACACACACACACAGAGTCAGTCACCAGAGGTCACCATGGCTTCTGGGTGCACACAGACACATGTACATATAAAAAATAAGAAAAAGAAAAAGAAAAATCAGTACCTCATTTATTTATACTCTGCTTTCCTCCCCAGTGGAGACCCAAAGTGGCTTACAGCATCATTCTCCCTTCCTCCACTTTATCTTCACCACCACCACGTTAGGTGGGTTAGGCAGAGAGTATGACGGGCCCAAGGTCACCTAGTGTGCTTCTATGACAAACTAGGAACCTGAGCCTAGATCTCCCAGATCCTAGTCTGTCAGTCTAACCATTGCACTCTCCAGAATACCTTTCTAACATTTTCTGTTTTGCAGTCAAGCCAACAAAGACAATGGCTCAGTTCAGATGCTGCACAAAACTATGGTTTAATCCAATGATCCCCAACCTTTTTGCACCTGTGGGCACCTGTGGAATTTTGACACAGTGACAAAATGTCTGCCACAACATGGTTGCCACAGGAAGTGAAGCCAGCCACAAAATTGCTGCTCTAGTCACACAGTGAAGATCTTTGGGCTCTGCTGGCAGCTTCCGCCAAAGTAGCATTTAAAAAAAAAAATGCACAGCCAATCAAATCTCCAATGGCCAATCAGAATCATAGAATCATAGAATCATAGAATGTTAGAGTTGGAAGGGACCTTGCAGGTCATCTAGTCCAACCCCCTGCACTCTGCAGGAGCATAGCCGAAAGATAGCCCTACACACCTACAACATACCCGAAAGATGGTCGTCCAGCCTCCGCTTGAAAACGTCCAGCAAAGGAGCATCCACCACCTCCCGAGGCAGACTGTTCCACTGCTCAACCACTCTTACAGTAAGGACGTTTCTCCTGATATTTAGCCAGTAAAGAATCCCTTGTAATTTCCACCCATTAGATCTAGTCTTGCAATCCGGAGCAAGAGAGAATAGATCTGCTCCATCTTCTACATGACAGCCCTTCAAATACTTGAGGACTGCAATCATGTCCCAATCATGTCCCTTCCTTGTTACTTCCTTCCTCTTGCTCAGGATTTGCTAGCTCTTGCCGTTCTCTCAGGAGCCCCTCTTCCTTCACGTCTAAAAAGCTTTCTGCCTCCCTGATGTTCCTCAGTGTACAGATTTGTGCCTTGAGTTCTCCCACCTTCTCCTCAAGCATTCTTATAAGCTTGCACTTGCAGCATGTGTAATGCATTTCATGGCATGGCAGAAAAATGATCATGGTGCAACGCACGCAGGTCACTGGAGTAGATCCTTTGTCATCCTTCTTCCTTGGAGCAATGCTATCTTCTAGAGCCTCAGGAACTTTCCTCAAACTCTGACCTAAACTCTTATTGTGGTAATGTACCCTGAAAACTTTGAGACCTACCAAATGGCTACCTTGCCAGCAGTTCTCCGCCAAGAACTCAAAAGCAGCCCTCTCCTCAGGTTCTTACAAGGCCTCCAAGCAAGACCCACAGGCTAGGACCCACAGGCTAAGAGCCGCAGGCCCCTTCCTGCTCAGCACAGCAGAGCCCAGCACAATAGGGGGCGGGGCTTGCAATCAACAGCACCCCACAGCAACTCAGCCTCCAACAACCCCCAAAGCACAAACAGCCCCAAACAGACTTAAACAGAACCACTCTCTATCAGACTATAAAGAACCCAACTCTCTCTCAGCTCCCACACAGCAGCTAGGAAGGCAAAAGGAGAAAGAAAAATCCCCTACCTTCTATCAGCAACCCACCACGTGCTCTCCAGAATCCAGAACTAAGTTATACTTGATCACGTCAAGAGGGTTGACATCATCTTCCTCTTCCTCATCCTTTTTTTCTTTCGCACTTTTAACGACAGCCCCACCTAGCCCTGCCCACTTTCTGAGAAACACATGGCAGGCTCCAGGAAATGTGTGGGTGGGCCCACGGGCAACATGTTGGGGACTCCTGGTTTAAACAAACTATCTATGGTGAATAATCTGAACATGGGTTATTCCACTAACAAGCTAGGATCTGAAAGAGTTTGGAGTTGGTTTAATTAACCACAGTTAACTATGGCTCCACGGGATGCATAGAGACATTCTGGCTTGTTGCCCAGTGCCACACTCATTGCACAACAAAACACCAAATTTCTGAAGGGGGGAAAAAACAAAGGGATTTGTCATGGAAAACCAGGGTAGGATGATCATTTGCTAGCTGAACTTCACATGAACCAGTTAAAATAAACCACAGTTTTGCATTACAACTGAACCAGGTCAATTGCTTTTATTTGGATCCTCCTGCACCAAACTGGGCCCCTGCCGTGCTTTAGAATTGATTTCCCATGGAGAATGCACGGCTGCTGTGTCTAATGTAACATGTAATTTGGGCCTCAAACTTCAACATTACTTTTTTGGAACAAATGATGTTTGAGTTAATATGGTATAAGCAGAATAAAACTAAGTTATACTTGATCACGCCAAGAGGGTCGACATCATCGTCCTCTTCCTCATCCTCTTCTTCTTTTGTACTTTTAACTCCTTGCTCTTTCGAGGACTTGAACTGGGGAATGATGTCAGACGCTCCTTCCTCTCTGAAGAAATCAAAAGCTTCATTTTCTTCCTCTTCCTTATCAGGAAGGTTTTTACCCTTGAAGTCAACCACACTAGCAGATCTGGTTCCTGCTGGGGGGAAAAAACATGGGAAATGAATAACAAGTTGATTTGAACAGCTAACTCCTGTTACTGGCATGTGCTCATCTCCCTGACTGCTGACAGATCTGCAAACAGAATGTAGGAGATTTATTCTTATATTAATAAACAACACGTTTTTGTGCCATGTAGCTAGTAGTCTAATAGTTCCTTTCATTTTATAGCAACTGTGCTGCAGGATTTCAAAGAGGGCCACATACAGGCACCATAACTTACCTATCTAGAGACAGAGAGAGACTGACAAACAGACAATTAGGCTCTCTGCCTTGACACAGAGGGAGTCTACGTCTTCAGTCTGTGCACAATAATTTTTTTTAAAAGGCTCCAAAATCCAGTGTTATGAACGACGGTGTGCGTACTGTTATTATCAACAAATTCCAACCCTGATTAGAGCCTTCAGATTCTGCTAATAACCAGACATCTACTTCTTTTTGATTTAAGGCCAAAAGTACAACCACATGACATTTAAGCTGTGCATAACTACCATTAGCAGCTGCTTAGATCCAGCCCTGATAATCTAACTATATCAAGAACCAGCTGTCCCTGTTCTGTGATTCCATAATCATGTTGTAGCTGTATGGTGCTTGGTGAAGAGCACAAATATTCTGAGAATGTCGCTCTCACTTAGAAAAAGAAGTTTCTAGCTCACTGGGTAGGCAATGCCTAGCAACGTCCGAGAAGCCCTGAGGACCAGGGTAGAGCAGAGGGGAAGCCAACCGAGAATTCTTGTAGTCCAGACAGCATTTCAGTGCTCTATGGAACTATTTTGAATACATTATTAGGAAATAAGCCCACACAAATTGGTTTAAATTGCAAATGGCTGTAGAATTCAACTCTTCATGGTACAGAAATGTGGATACCTAGCTGCAGAATTTTGATTTTGATTTATTAATTTCCTGGAACCAATAACTTCCTCCTGTAGCAAGCTCTCTTACAAGTTTCTCTTGCATTTAAATCAAGTACTACAGATCTCTAGTATCTGAGTACAGGATTTATAGTAAAGAAGTTGACAGTATTGCACATCACATTTTCAAAGATATATTTAAAAAGGGGATGTCTTTGGAGTCCAATTTAACCCCAGGATTAAGCAAAACTCCCCAAAGGGATACATATAAACCTACTCAAAACGATAGCAAATGAAGGCTTTGTTAATCGGCAGACAATTTACTCTTTGATTCTGAATACATTTACATTTAATTTATACTAAAATCAATTACCTCTAAGTAAAACTATTCTGAACTGGTCTAGATATTAGATTCACTGTACTATTTTGAACCTCTGCAGCAATTTACCTTCCCCTACAGGCTTATCCATTTACTAGAGTACAATATGTCCACTGGGGCTAGCACAGCGAGTTTCCTGCCCCCCAAGTGTCAACCACCAGTGGTATGAACTGGTGATAGGAAAACTCACAGACCCTGTATGCCATGGCAGGGAGTGGAAATTTGCTTCAAGGATTCTGACTCCATAGGCAAAGTTAGTACCTTGATGAGCTAAAATGTTCTTGAGACATGTCAAATGTAGGAAAGCTTCATTCAGAATTTCACAGCCTGATTGTAATATGTACTACCGGTCCTTAACATAATAGCAGTAGAACTCAGCCTTAAACTGTTTTGGAAGAACACTGTTTATTTTGCAAACATTTTGGACCTGCGACGTTTGAACCAATGTTCCCTCTAAGCTGAGTTAGTGTAAGCTAGCTCATATTTTTTAGCCTCCGGCTCACACACTTTTTGTCTTAGCTCAGGAAGGATGGCTCCAGAGCAAACTAATTTATGCAGCAGCCAAATCGCTCACCCACAACTTTAATGCCAGTAGCTCGCAAAGTAGAATTTTTGCTCACAAGACTCCACAGCTTAGAGGAAGCATTGGTTTGAACCCTTACGTATTGAAGAAATTTCCTTCTGTTTTTAAAAAGAACATTTTGGAATTACCTAGGAATTCCAGTAACTCAGGGCTCATTGCAAGATCTGCTTCCTTGGAAATGGATCGCATGATCTCATTGAACATAACTCTTCGCTCTCGAATGTCCGATTCCCCGACAAACAACACTTTCCTTGGCAGTGAAGGCAGAGATGCTTGTGGATACCTTGAAACCAGTTTTTGATAAAATTCCTCAATCTCGCTGTATTTCTTTGAGACCTATGATGACATGGGCAAAATATAAATTCTTTATTAAATGGCAAATGTGAAGAAGCATGTAAAGGAGAACACAATTCCTCATGATTTCTGAAGCAAAATTTAGTGGTCATGTACGGGCATTATCACCTTGTTGAGGTCCTAGCAAAGGCGGAGGTAAGAACTTCCATCCCCAACTGTTGGTTTCCCACACATGACTGATATTCCCACATGAACACATGAAGCTGCCTTATACTGAGTCAGACATTTGGTTGATCAGATCAAGGTCAGTATCGTCTACTCAGACCGGCAGCAGCTCTCCAGGGTCTCAGGCAGAGGTCTTTCACATCACCTACTGCCCAACTTGGTTCGGGAGAGGCTAAAGAGTCCAGACACCACTCAAACCTACAGTATGATTAAATTAACAATGGTTAGAGTGATCACCTGAACATGGTCTAACTATAGGTAGGTAGGGTCTGGTTAGAGTGATCACCTGAACATGGTCTACCCCACTAACTATAGGTAGGTAGGGTCCATTCAAAAGGGATCTGAAATCATGGTCTGAAGTAGGTTTATTTACCACAGTTAGTCTTAACCGTGGCTTGCAAGATGTACAAATGCAGACATTTTGGCTTAATCCAGGCTTGATCCCTGACAGCACAGCACCCTTACCGCAATGCCAGCTGGAATACGGTGGGTCTCTGTGGGGGGAAGCATTAAGGCAATGCAATCAACACACTTCTTGGTTATGAAACCAAAAGGCAGGGGATAAACATTGTAAACAAATAAATTTCAATTTAAATAGACAGATACATTTCAATGATTGCCTGTGAGCTAAATCATGATTTTACAAACTAGCCCTAGTCTTTTAAATAAACTACAGTTTTCCATAAAGTCTGAACCAAGCCTCGAGACTCTCTTATACCACTATGCCGATATGTTATAGAGCACCAGACTTTAGCCCTTAAGACCTTGGTTCAAATACCTGTTCAACCATGATATTTAGACAAATCATCAGAATATTTTAAAGCCCTGCTGGTTTAGACCAAAGCTCCATCTTATCCAGCTTTCTGCTTTCATTAGCAGATAACCATGTGCTTTCAAGACCCTGCCGGCCCATGTTAGGCACAAAGACAGCGGCCTCCCCTGCGGAGTCTCAGTCCCTCGTATTCAAAGGAAGACATATATGACAGGGGACTTTTTTCAAGAAACAGAGAACAAGTCTAAGGTATAATTGAAGGGTAATTGGATTGAAGGAAGGGAAGCATCTAAACACAATTACATAAAGTGAATTAAAGAGGGTGGGAAAGGGTGGAGAGCCATGCAGGGACTAGTTCAAAGATATAATTGAAGGAAAATTGCATGGAAGAAGAGCAAGAGGAAGCCCCAAAATAAAATTATATAAAGCAAATTAAAGTGCGGGGGATGGTAGAGACATATACAGACCTGCAAAGGTTTGCCTGAGATAAAAGTATCGAGAGCTGTCCAAGACCAACTTACAGGTTGAAATAGGGAACGACTACCCTTGCAAAATTAGCGCACTCATTGAGGGACCCAAATGCACAAATTCTGATATTCAGGCACCACAAGTTCTACTGAGGTAGCAGCATGGATTCAAAAAGATGGGGGGTGGGGCGTTGAATGCAAGATCCCACCTTATACTGAGTCAGCCCTGCGGTCTATCAAGATCACGGTTGTCTGCTCTAATGGTAGTGGCTCTCCAGGGTCTCATGCAGAAGTCATTCACTTGATGACTGATTCTTTTACTTGGAGATGGGTTGGTTCTGGGACCTTCTACACGAAAAGTAGATGCCGTAACCACTGAGCCAAGGCCCCTCCCCTTTACTGACACATATTCAGCCTCCAAGGTTTCTGCCTTGTGGCTACCCATTGCCCAAGCTGTGGCCATAAATGATGATGTACACAGCATTTTGCTTTCTGTAGAGTGATACAGATCAGTCCACCAACTTGTCATGCACTGATTTAAGAGGCCGTTTCTTGGACAAGAGAACAACAAAACAATACCCTGAACAAGACCAAACGCAAACCCATTAAATCCACCCTGGCATAAGGTTGTTCTTGTTGTTTTAACTTTTCTAGTGTGAACCCATGCAGCAGATTCATAACTAACTTCAAACAGTTACATATCCTTAGCCAATTAAATGGGTGTGAATGTTCACCCACTGTAGTTATTCAGTGCTGGAGACCAAATTTGCATTTAATTTTTCATGCATTAACAGAGTGAAAACAATGCACCCTTCCCCCCCCTGTGTTGCTTTAAAAATAATGGAAACCCATTAACTCCAAATGGAAACATACAAATATAAGTAATCTGTGAACAGAATGATATTCTTTCTCCACGCCTACACAACATGCATCTTAAATGGTGCTCGAGTGCCCTCTACTGGAATTATCCAAGCTATAATAGTCAAACATTAAAGTGACTTGCATTTCCTGATTCTGTTACACACATTAATTTGGAAAATCAACTGAGACAAATAGGTTTCTATAGTACTTTCCAAATTCTCTATGTTGAAATCCAGCAGATGTGGATATGACTGATGAAATCTCAGCAATGTTGCATCTATCTATCTATCTATCTATCTATCTATCTATCTATCTATCTATCCAGGGCTCTTTTTGTAGAAAAAGCCCAGCAGGAACTCATTAGCATAACAGGCCACACTCAACAGCAGAAACTCATTAGCATATTAGGCCACACCCCTGACAGCACAGCTCATTAGCACATTAGGCCGCACCCCCATGTTACCAGAAGTGTGGGCATCCAGCCACACCCACCTTTTGCTTGTTATTCTGTTTACCTTGTTTGTTGTCAAAACCCAGGGCCTTTTTTTGTAGCAGGAACTCCTTTGCATGTTAGGCCACACACCCCTAATGTAGCCAGTCCTAATGAGTTCCTGCTGTTGGGTGTGGCCTATTATGCTAATGAGTTCCTGCTGGGCGTGGCCAACCTGGGAGCCAGCCGGAACTCTGTTCTCGTGCGTTCCTGCCCCAAAATAGCCCTGTATCTATCAATCATCACCATATGGCAACACTGCAACATATTGTTTTGTTATAGTATACTGCAAGCATTTATCATATGGTATAGGATGCCCTTAAGGCCTTTCTGCACAAAGCTGTACCCAAACGCATCTTATACTTTCAGTGATACACCTGCAAGCATAACAAGAAGTCCATTTGTAAGTAACAGATGCAGGAGGTTACAAAGCTGCTGTTTCTGTGCGTACCTCAGAGGTCATTTTGGGGGGGAACGCGGGGGAACACAGTTCCCCCGGGTGAGGTGCAGGGGGGTGGGGCACATGATGAAGCACCGCCCCCTTCTTCCGGCTGCCCCGCTTCCAGCCCTCATTCAGCCAGGAGGAGGCAGGAGAAGAGGGAGGGTAAGTTGCTTCCTCCCCGCCTCTCCCCACCCCTGCCTGCCTGGGGCCAGGGAGGGCCTTGGCGGGGCTTCCTCGCACTCCCGCTGGCCTTGCAGGTCCACCGCTGGGCCCCTGATGTCAGGGGGTGTGGCATATGCTAATGAGTTATGCTAATGAGTTCCCCTAGCTCTTTTTCTAGGAAATGACTCCTGGCGTACCTCATGGGTTTCCGCTTTTCACACAGTGTGAGATGCCACTCCAGAGAGTTCTCTGGCCTCCAGGAAATACTTTTTAGGGGGAGCACAGGGGGAGGAGAGCCTGAAACCCCCTGGTTTTATGTAGAAGTCTGAACAAAGACTTCCAGACCCCAACTCACAACTCTGTTGTGCCATGGAATTCAAAAACACTGAATCTAATTGCATGAAGCTCCCAGGCCCCTTACCTGTGTATCTTATTCCAGAATCATATACGTAGTAGTCACTCAGTTTGGTACCCTTCAGACCATGTGCAGACATAGAAAGGGACAAATTGGAACATCTCTACCAATGGAAGAGATTTCCTAGTTTTGCCAAAAACAGCAGCAGTGCAAACGGTCCTCACACACCTTCAAAGCCATGGTGTCAAAAGCCTGTGCATGCAGGATGAACATACACGAACACATGAAGCTGCCTTATACTAAATCAGACCATTGGTCTATCAAGGTCAGTACTGTCTACTCAGACTTGCAAAGACTCTCCAAGGTCTCAAGCAGAAGTCTTTTACATCGGCTAGAACCTGGATCCTTTTAACTGGAGATGCCAGGGACTGGACCTGAGGCCTTCTGCATGTCAAGCAGCTGCTGAATCACTGAGCCACGCCCCCCCCACTCACACCACTTGTGCATACTCTGGCTGGACATTAATCTCCCCTCAGTCTAGTTCAGCAATCATATAGGCTAGACAACCCAAGACCAATTCTGCAAGTGCTCTAGGGAAGAAAGAAGGTTGAGCAGAGAATGATAAAGGGGTCGCAGCAGGAGCCAGTGCGGTGTAGAGGTTAGAGCAGGGGTCCCCAACCTTTCTGAGCCTACAGGCACCTTTGGAATTCTGACACAACATGGAGGGCACAGCCACAAAATGGCTGCTACAAAACAGCTGCCATAAGAGGCAGAGCCAGCCACAAAATGGCTGCCACAGTTCACCTTCAGTCACACAGTAAAGATCCTTGCACTGTGGTGGCAGCTGCTCCCAAAATGTTTTTTTAAATCTGCACAGCTAATAAAATCTCCAGTGGCCAATCAGAAGCCTTGCTGACCAAGTCCCATCTGATCCCGCCCATTGTCTAGAAACACTTGGTGGGTGCCAGGAAAAGTCAGGCACTACGTTGTGAACCTCTAGGTTGCAGTGTCTTAGTGGAATCTGGGAGAGCTGGATTCAGATCTCCCATGCTGCTCACCGAGTGATCTTGGGCCAGTCGCATGGACACAGTGCAGCCTCCTTCTGAGGGGCTTACTCCCAGGCAGGTGTTCTTATGATTCTAGCTTGCATCTAACTTGTTCCCCACTCTACTGTCATTCACACCCACATGCACTGGTTATCTGTAGCTCAGTGAATCCGACAGCCCCATGCATTCACCAAAGAGGCATACTTCTGAGTAGACGTGCTT